GGGGGCGGGGGGTCCCCGGGGGGAGCGCGCCGGGCCTCTGCCGGGGTCCCCGCGGCCCCCGGTACGTGCCAGCGCCCACGGAGGAAGCCGGATGTCCGCAGGCCCTTGGTTCTCCAGTTTCCCAACGCGCCGCCCGGGTGTCGCAACCGGGGCGCGCGAGCTGCACAAGTTGCTTCAAAGTGCAGAAAACCCCGGGCGCCCTCGCTTCCGGAGCTCGGTCGGCCGGGCTGTTCTCCTTTTGCTCCCCCGCCTCCCCCTCGCCCCGTGGGCAGCCGGAGGCCTCTGGGCCGGGAGCCCTGGCCGAAACCGGCCATCTTGGGCCGCGGTGCGGTTGTGAGAAGATGGTGCGCCCGGGGGTGCCGCGCACGGCGCCCCGCATCCGGCTTGGTCTATCTCGCGGCCCCGGCCAGCCACAGAGGGAAGCAGATTGTAGGGAAGAGGATGGACCTGCGGGAAGCATTTAGCCAGCGTTGGCCCGTGGGGCGGCAGAGGTTTGCAGCGATCAGGGCTCCCTCCCTGTCCCGGCAACGCGAGCACGCTACATGGAGTGCCTTTCCGCCTCCGGAAACGTGCACAAAGTAGTTGGTAAGACAGGCCCAGGTGAGGGGCAGAAGGAAGAGGCACAGGGGAGACCCGGGGGACTCGAGTGTCTGTTAACCACAGCTGCCATCTATGCAAATGGACACTCATTTTTTTTTCCCCTGGACAACCAACTTGGTATTATGTATTTATTGTGACAGTCCTGGGGCTTGAACTTGGGGCCTCAGGTTCTTGCTTGGCTTATTTTTTTGCCCAAGGCTGGCACTTGTAACCATTTGAGTCACACCTCCACTTCTGGCATTTTGCTAGTTAATTAGAGATAAGAGTCTGATAAGACTTTCCCTCCCAGGCTGGCTTTGAATCACAACCCTCTGATCTCAGCCTCCTGAGTAGCTAGGATGACCGGCATGAGCCACCAGCACTTGAATCAACTTTAGATCAATAAGTTGCCAAGGTCCTTACAGTAGAGTCAGGATGGCATTGTTCGTACCAGGATAGTGAAGAGTGACCTCACCTTGAGGGTTTATGTGCGTTTTGTTTTTTGTTTGTTGGTCATGGGGCTTGAACTCAGAGCCTGGGTGCTGACCTTGAGCTCTTTTGCACAGGGCTAGTACTCTACCACTTTGAGCTACAGCACCACTTCAGGTGGTTAATTGGAGATAAGAGTTCTCATGGGCACTTTCCTGCTCAGCTAGCTTCGAACTGCAGTCCTCAGCTCTCAGCCTCCTGAGTAATTAGGATGACAGGTGTGACACCGGCCTTTATGTGCATTTTTATGGACATGATGTTATATAAGCATCCAGTGCCTAGAATGAAAAAGCAGAGGGCTGGGAAGGTGGCTCAGTGGTAGAGCGCTTGCCTTGCATGCATGAGGCCCTAGGCTCTATTCCTCAGCACCACATAAACAAAAAAAGCCAGAAGCGGCACTGTGGCTTAAGTGGTAGAGCACTAGCCTGGAGCTGAAGAGCTGAGGGACAGCATCCAGGCCCAGAGTTCAAGCCCCACGACCAATAAAAAAAGAAAAAGCTAATTCTTCCATTGACCTGGGTCACAGGGTACCATCTTCAGTCTCTGCTAGTCAGACAAGTACACCTCAGAGGCCTGCAAGGCCAGAGCCCAGGAAACCCACAGGACAAGTGAATTGGGATTCATATCAGCAGGATTTTAATGGGGCAGGGGCGGTGTGTGTGTGTGTGTATGTGTGTGTGTGTGTGTCTCAGTTGGTGTCAGGATCAGGATCATACTCATTTACTTATGATCTGCAGTGCAGGGTGAACACGGTATTCTGTAGTGAACTGTTGTCAAACCTGGAGACTGTGAAGCCAGCTTTTAACACGGTGTTCTGGGGCACTGAAGTGAGGTGGTACTCAGGAGCAGGGGAGACCCCCTGGGGCCCCTCCCCATGCCCTCTATCCCCTCAGTATTGCCTGAGTGCCTGCTTTGCCCTGAGCCCAGGGGAACTACTGTTGCAGGCCCTTTGCACAAAGACCTGTCCCTGACTCTCCCACCCATGCTTGAAGCAGGCCCTGAGCTGGAAGAATGGTATCGTGACTAGGTCAGAAAGGGCTAGTCTTGGGGTTATTACGGTCCTGTGAGTGGACGCAGGGCATGGGTGGGGCAGAATCTGAGAAGCCAGCCTCCTGTTGGGTCTGAGGCCTGGCCCCCTGGCCGGCTTTGTGCTGAGGGCTTCCTGGCCTCTCCGCCGCCCCTGTCCCTCAGAGAGCAGATTGCAGCAATCAGAGGTGAAGTGACTTACCAGAGGTCACACAGCCTGTAAGTTTTGGAGCCAGGTTAGGTTCTATCCTCCAATCTCAGCCTCCTGAGTAGCTAGGGTGACAGGCGTGAACCACCCGTGCTACACTAGGGACAGCTTTTGTTCAAAGTGAATCACTGGTCTCTCCTGTAGACACCAAAAAGGGGCAGGACAAGATGGCTCTGCTCCCCCTGGAGCTTTCTTGGACATTGGGGCTCTCTAGGCAAACAGCAGGAGAGTCTCCCTTGAGCATGCGTTCTGGGGAGCTTAAGAGGAGTGACAGAACGGGCACTCAGGTTTCTTAAATATTTTCAAAGCAGCAGTGTCGGGTGGCCACAAGGCGTCACACTTCTTGTGTGGATGGAGCTGCAGAATTTCCAGGGTGATTGTTTCTCCTTGCAGCTGGAGGCAGAGTCTCCCACAGTTCATTCAGAGACCTGCCCAGGGTGGGGTGGTCAGTCGCCTGCTGTCCTCAACCTTGTTCCACCCATCCTTCCCCCTCACCCCTTAAAAAGCCAGGACCTGCAGGCTGGGGGTAGAGCTCAATGCTAGAGCACATGCCTAGTGTGTGTGAGGCCCTGGGTGTCATGTCCAGCACCCAAAACAATAAGTAAATAAATAGCAGCCAGGACTCTCAGGGTCCACTATTCTAGAATCTACTGTGTGCAGCTGAGGAGTGGGAGGTCAGAGCATTTGGAACTGGAAATTGGTAAAGAAGCCAAAAGTGGGAAGGGTCTGGATGTTCACGCCTGTAATCCTACCTACTCAGGAGGCTGAGACTCCATCTCCAGTATAACCAGCAAAAAGCAGGGCTTGTTCCACGGCTCCCCCAGCTCCAGGGTCCCCACAAGTCTCTACCATCTGAGCACGGCTCCATCCCCATACCCAAGTGCTCCCTACAGCCTTGCTCTGCACAAAGGTGGGGACACCAGGGTCGGCTCCCCTCCAGTCCCAGCCCCTTGCTGTGGCCAGCGTTTCTTCTTTCTTTCTCTCTTCCTTTCTCTCTCTCTCTTCCTTTCTCTCTCTCTCTCTCTCTCTTTCTTTCTTTCTTTCTTTCTTTCTTTCTTTCTTTCTTTCTTTCTTTCTGTCTGTCTGTCTGTCTGTCTGTTTGTCATGGGGCTTGAACTCTGGGCCTGGGCACTGTCCCTCAGCTCTTTTTTTTTTTTTTTTTTTGGTTATGGGGCTTGAACTCTGGGCCTGGGCGCTGTCCCTCAGCTCTTCAGCTCAAGGTGAGCGCTCTACCCCTGGAGCTACAGCGCCACTTCTGGTTTTCTGGTGGTTTATTGGAGATAGGAGTCTCATGGTCTCTCCTGCCTGGGCTGGCTTTGAACCGGGATCCTCAGATCTCAGCCTCCTGAGTAGCTAGGATTACAGGCGTGAGACACCAGCGCCTGGCTTATCCCTCAGCTCTTAAGATCAAGGCTAGCACTCTACCACAGCGCCACTTCCAGGTTTTTCTGCTTATGTGGTGCTGAGGAATCGAACCCAGGGCCTCATGCATGCAAGGCAAGCACTCTACCACTGACCCACTTTCCCAGCCCTGCCATTTTTTTATTACATAAATTTCACAGTATTGTGGGATAGTGATACTTCGTTAAAATCACAAACACATTCTGACTTTCATGGGGCAAATTGTCATTATCGTGGTCTATAAAGTTTGAGTTTTATGAGCTCTGACAATAGTTATTTCTTCCACATTGGGTGATATGTACATTTCTTTCCTTTTGCTTAGTGTCAGCTGTTCCCTCTTTCCCACACATTCCCTCCTTCCCATCTCTGCCCTTTAGTTGCTTAGTTCGTTTTCATCAATGTCCAGTGCAGCTGATGGGTCCTGCTGCTGTATATTTCCTGTTTCCTTCTGGTTTCCCTCTGATGTGCACATATAGACCATATATGTGATCAGCACCATGGGGTCATTTAGTAATGATTTGACCAGATGAGTGAAGGTCCTTTGTTTCTTGAGTCTAGTTTACTTTGTTGTATCACCTTACATTTTGGATTTAACATCCACATATCAGGGAGACCATCTCTTTGCTCTTGGCTTACCTCACTCAACATGATTTCTTCTAGTTCCATTCATTTCCCTGCGAGTGCCATTATTTTGTCCTTTCTAATGACTGCAAAATATCCATTGTATATTGGTACCACAATTTTTGGATCCATTCATCTGTGGTGGGGCATCTGGGTTGTTTCCATACCCTGGCTATTGTGAACTGTGCTGCAGTGAACATGGAGGTGCACGTGTCCTTGTATCCTGGTTCCTATTGTTCAGGATAGATGTCTAGGAGTGGTATGGCTGGGTCATAGGGAAGGTCAATCTTTAGCTTTCTGTGGACGCTCCAGACTGCTTTCCAAAGTGATTGTATAAGTGTACATTCCCACCAGAGTGCAATAGTGTTCCTCTTTCTCCGCATCCCCTCCAGCATTTGTTGTTGGCTGACTTTAGGATGTGGGCCATTCTGACTGGGGTAAGGTGGTATCTCAGGGTTGTTTTTATTTTCATTTCCTTTACAACCAGGGATAGTAAACATTTCCTCCTGTGTTTCTTTGACATTTTTATCTCTTCTTTCTGAGAAGTCTCTCTAGTTCCCTTGCCCATTTAGTAATTGGTTTGTTGGGTTTGGGAGGGATTAGTTTCTTGAGTTCCCTGTATATACTGGATATTAACCCCTTGTCTGATATATTGCTGATAAATACTTTTTCACAATTAGTTGTCTGTCTTTCTAGTTTGGTTGCTATGTCTTTAGCTGTGCAGAAATTTTTATTTTAAGGTAGTCCTATTTGTCGAGTCTCTCTCCAATTCGTTGTGACCCTGTGACTCTGTTCAGAAGTTCCTGCCTGTGCCTATAAGTTCAAGTGTCTCCTACTCTGTCCTGCAGTAGTTTTAGAGATTCAGGTTTGATGTTAAGGTCTTTAATGCATTTTGAGTTGATGTTAGTGCATGGTGACAGGCTGGGGTCCACTTTTAGTTTTTTGCATGTGGCCGAGTGGCTAGTGTTTCCTTGAGACTCGCGTGAAGCCCTGGTAGGCTTTGTTCCTGGCCGCCATGTCACATTGTTCACGTCTCGCACTCTCTCCTGTACCACAGGTGATTCTCCTTGTTCACTGGCTGCTGACCACCTGGTGAGTGACTGGGGAGGGGGGTTCCCTGCTCTGTCACCTGTGTCCTTGGGTCTTTCCCCTTCTTCCCCTTCTCTCCCTTTCATTTCTTTCCTTTTCTACTCAGCACCACATAAGCAGAAAAAGCTGGAAATGGCGCTGTGGTTCAAGGGCGTTTGCCTTGAGCTGAAGAGCTGAGGGACAGCGCCCAGGCCCAGAGTTCAGGCCCCACAACTGACCAAAAAAAAAAAAAAAAAACCGAATACAAGGCCCTGAGTGTAAGCTCCAGTCAAGGACATTAGATGGATGGAGGATAGATTAATGTGATTTACGGCCTGAGGCCATGGAGTAGGAAGGAGACCTTTGGGCCGCTGTAGGGCCTTCTGTCTGATGGTGTGGCATCTTCCTGCAGGGGCTGCATCGTGTTTTCTGGCCCTTATGCCTGGGCCAACTTCACCATCCTGGCCCTGGGCGTGTGGGCTGTGGCTCAGCGGGATTCCATCGACGCCATTAGCATGGTGAGTGAGGCGCGGGCTCTGTGGCCGGGCAGCAGGGGGCGCTGTGCCCCCATCTGCCCCGCCCCCCTCCCCTGGCTTCCTCATTGTCTGCTTTCTAAAGCCTGGCACATACATGAGCCTGTGCAACTTGCCAAGCCGGGCCTGTTGCACGGCTTGCCTGGCTCACCTGGCTCACTTCTGAGCCCATCCCTGCCTTCCCTAGGACAGGCGATGGGTGAGGACCCAACAGTGCCCCCAAGATTGCCCATTCCCCAGGCGAGCCTGGTCCACCTCAGGAACTGTGTCTGGAGGGATGTGGCTGTGGGGGAAGCCACCAAGGCTCCTCTCTCCCATCACCTCTGCCCAGGCACACCCGGGCCCCAGCCTCAGGACCCCGAGACGGGGTACAGCAGGCTGGCTGGATCCCAGGGGCCTTTCCTTCTTAGGCCCTGTGTTGACCTTGGGGGACGTGGGGGGTGGGGCTCTGGGGAAACGCAGGTCTTGCCCGTCTGTCACCAGTGAATGTCAGAGGCCTCAGGAAGGGAAGAACCCCGGGTGGGTTGGGGTGTCAGTGCCCATGAGCCGCTGCTGGTGTTTCTTGCAGTTTCTGGGGGGGTTGCTGGCTACCATCTTCCTGGACATCGTCCACATCAGCATCTTCTACCCGCGGGCCGGCCTGTCGGACACCGGCCGCTTCGGCGCCGGCATGGCCATCCTCAGCCTGCTGCTCAAGCCCTTCTCCTGCTGCCTGCTCTACCACATGCACCGCGAGCGCGGGGGCGTGCTCCCCTTCCACACTGGTGAGTCTGGGCCCGGCATGCCCCTGCCGGCTGTGGTGGCACCCTGTGGCCAGACCCTCCCGCATCCTAGAGCACAGATGTGGACGGGGTGGGGTCCCCCAGCCCAAGCCCTGCAGGTGACTATGGGAGCCTCTCCTCCCACCTGCCCCCAGACCCTGCTCTCCTGCTGTGCAGGGTGGGGAGGGGGGGAGGAAAGGAGGCTCTCACCTGCACAGAGAGCTTGGGCTATAAAGCCAACTCAGATACAGGCGACCCCTCTGGCTGCCTGCTGCCCCCTGGCACCATTCCCATTTGTCCTGATGGAGGCCTGTGCCCTCCTAGCTTTCTGTGGCAGCCCGGAACCCACCAGGGCAATACTGGACAAGGACAGGAGTGGCCCATGGCCACCTACCCTGGCTGACCTCAGCGCCCTCCTGACCTGCCCTGGGATGGGGAGAACCAGGGGCAGGCTGGCCATGACACAAATAGGAAACTGAGGCCCACAGCCCTTGAGACTGGCTCAGATGTGCAGAGGGGATGGAAGTGGGGTGTGGGAGTTCTCAGAGCCTTTCGCTCTGCCTTGCACTCCAAGCTTTACTCCCTGGGAGCAGTAACTCTGCCGGGCTGTGGGGCTCCTGGCTAGTCATGCAGAGTCCTTGTTCTGGGAGGGGAGCAGAAGAGAAGTCTGGCCCTGGACTGTATGTCTGGGTATCTGGAGACCCGGGTGGGCCTCAGGTGGGGGTGGGCTTAGGGTAGCAGCTGGCCTCAGGTAGGGGTGGGTCTCAGGTGCGGTGTGCCTTGGGCAGTCCTCAGCAGTCTTCATCCTCCATTTCCCTCCCTCCTCCATTTCCCTCCTTCCCTGCCTGCCCTCCAGATGACCTTGGTCCTTCTCCAGAGCGCAGTGCCTACCAGACTATCGACTCCACAGAAGTTCCAGCAGACCCCTTTGCAGGCCCAGATGGCAGGGGCCAGGCCACCCCCCGAGGGTATTGAAGCCTCCCTGGGGCCCTCCTGACCCCGGCTGCATCATCTTTGGATGCTTGCACCAACGGTGGACTGTCCTCCATCCCCTCTCCAAATGCCTGAATCATGTGTTACAAGAGGGTCAGAGCCTCCCACCCTCTCCCCTTCACGGCACCCTACTGTCACCAGGCTGGAACTATAGCCTCTTTCTTCATCTCCCACCCCACAGCTGCGCTGTGTGGACCCTGACCAAGTTGTGCCTGAGTGAGTTGGGACAGTGGTGACCCCGTCCCCACGCCACCCCACTGCAAACCCCCCAGGCTGTGGTCCCCCTCTGCAGGAGCTCACTAAGCCTCAAGATCCACAGGGACCTTGCCCAGTGCCTCTCACTGCCTGGCCGCATGGTGCCTGGGAATCTAGGCCCAGAGGGAGGAGGTGTCTGCAGTTCCCAAGACCCACCACAGCCCACACCTGCCCCTCTCGGAGCCCTGGCATTAAACTCAGGTGATTCTGTGGCTGAGCCCTGTCTCCTCTCCCACCGGGGCCCACCCGGCCATCCCTGGCATGATTTCTTTGAACCCCAAGTGGAGCCTGGACAGTCACCTGCCCCGCTGTCTCCAGAGAAAGTGGGGGACCTCACTGAGTCTGCTGGGGGACCGCATGGCATGGGCTTCATGGCTCCGGCTCAGGTGAGCTGGGCGTTGCTCTGAATCCTGCTCTGCCACTTGGCTGTGTGCCTTCACAGGCTTCTAGCAAGGCCTGTGTCTGCTCAGGTGAATTCAGTGCTGAGTGTCAGGGCGCTCAGCGGCACACTTCCTGGTGTCTGCCGTGGGTGGGAGTGCCTCTCTAGCAGGCCACAGAGCCCCTGGGACCCAGGGTCCAAGTCCTTGGATTGGGCTGGCTGTTCACAGCTGGCTTTCTGTCCTCTCACCCCCAGAAGTCCAGCCTCTCTTCTCAATCCTCTGTCAGTTAAAGAGGCTGAGTGGCTGCCAGGTGCCAGACAAGGGCCTGCAGCCGTGTGTGTGTGTGTGTGTGTGTGTGTGTGTGTGTGTTCTGAAGCCTACTCACAAGCTACACAGGCCACTCTGGGTGGGTGAGGGAGGCCAAGTGGTCAAAGTTGAGAAAAACAGAACGTCCTGGCTGTCAGGAGGTTACGTAGCCCCACCCATTTGCGACTTAGAGTAACTACAATATTAAGCAGACCTGTGTATGTGAACACTGCTGCCCCAAGGTGGACAAATGAAACGTGCAAGGCTGGTGTCATCGCAGAACCTTGGTAACGCCCTAGAGTTCTTGTGTGTGTGTATGGTGTGATGCACGGATGCATTAAAGCAAGAGCTACAAAGACAAGGTGGAGTCCATGATTTTGGTGGCATGGGCTGGGGGCAATGGGGACAAACAGGTCCGTTTCTCATGTTTGTATGGCTCCTGGCCTGTTTGGTACGTGCGGTGCTTCTGTTGCAAATTGAGACTGGCAGAGGAAATGAAACGGGGTAGGGGTGCAAAGGTCAGGTCCCAGAGCCCGTGCCAGGCAGTGGACTGTGGAGACAGCTCCTTGAGTCCTGGGTCCCCCACTCTGGCTCTGTGGCCAGAGCAGGGAAGGGCTCTGGCTCTGGAAGATTCCCGCAGAAGCAGTCCCAGGTGAGAGGCAGGAGCGGGGTCTGTCAGTCACAGGCCAAAGGCTGCCCTGGGTGGGTCCAGGAGACTAGAAGGGGCGTCAGGAGAGGATGGCCCCCTACGTCAGCCCCCCACAGAAGGGCACCCAGCGTTCCATAAAGGGAGCTGGGTGAGGTGCTGCCCTGGCAGAGGGGGAGAAATGCCTCTAACTCCAGGAGGCTCCATTTGGGCGGAGAGGAGAGGGGACAATGTAACATTCAGGAGCTGGCGAGCAGGGCGGGGCCTGCGCGGGGCGGGGCCTGCGCGGGGCGGGGCCTGCGCGGGGCGGGGCCTGCGCGGGGCGGGGCCTGCGCGGGGCGGGGCCTGCGCGGGGCGGGGCCCGCGCGGGGCGGGGCCTGCGCGGGGCGGGGCGTATGTCGTTAGCAGCGGACAGGACAGGAGTCCAGGACAGGAAAGCGGCCTCAAGCTCCCTTGGTGGGAAGGGGAGGGAGGCTTTTCCCTAAGTGGGCAGGGAGGGGGATGGCCTGCAGGCCGCCCGAGGGAGGAAGGGGCTGACGGGAGAAGTGGACGGATGAGCCCCTGAGCCCCAGCCAGGGTAAGAAGAGCCCCTGTGGGTTGAGCCGCCTGCAGTCGGCTTGGGCACGGGCGGGGCCGCGCAGGTGTCCTGAGTCCTGGTGTCCTCTTTTTGTACTGTGCCGGTACTCAGGCTTGAACTTGGAGCCTAGTCATTGTCCCTTCGTCCCTCCTCCCCCAAGCTGGTGCTCTACCACTTGAGCCACAACTCCACTGATGGCTTTTTTGTAGAAATGACTCTAGCCGGGTGCTGGTGGCCCACACTGATAATCCTAGCTACTCAGGGGGCTGAGATCTCAGCATCCTGGTTCGAAGCCAGCCCCAGGAGCTGCTGGGAAGGTGGCTCAGTGGTAGAGCGCTTGCCTTGCATGCATGAGGCCCTGGGTTCCATTCCTCAGCACCACATAAGCAGAAAAAAGAAAAAGCTGGAAGTGGCGCTGTGGCTCAAGTGGTAGAGCACTAGCCTTGAGCTGAAGAGCTGAGGGACAGCGCCCAGGCCCAGAGTTCAGGCCCCAGGACTGGACCCCCCAAAAAAGAAGCCAGCCCCAGCAGGAAAGTCTGAAACTTTTATCTCCAATAAACTACTCAGAAAAGGCCGGAAGTGGTGCTGTGACTCAAGTGGTAGAGTGCTAGCCTTGAGCAAAAACAGCTCAAGGACAGCTCTCAGGCCCTGAGTTCAAACCCCAGAACTGGCAAAAAAGAAAAAAATATCTCACAGATTTTCCTGTGCTGGCTAGCTTCAAGTCATGATCCTCAGATTTCAGCCTCCTGAGTAGCTTCATGAGCCATGGTGCCCAGCCAATATTCTCATTTCTAAAACAGGAAAACTAAACCATAGGCCTGCGGTGGTGTGGATTGAGTGGCAGGATGCCGGCTGAGAGCTTTGCTGGTGCCTAGTATGGGTCCTTCACTTGACAGTAGTTTATGAAGCTTAGATATGTGCAGGGCTATTCTACTTACTCAGATTCAGAGGGAAATGGGACCAAATGGCCTGTGTTCATATGCATCTATGCAAGAGGGGGGAAGAAAAGCAGTCGTTCAGTATATTGGAGGAAAATAGGATACAGAGCAAGAAGTGAGTAGAATGTTACATTTGGAAGGGCTCCTCAGGATATTCAAGGCAACAGGTAAAGGCATGAAGGAGACAGTTCTAGGCCAGAGGAACAAGTACAAAGGCCCTGGGGCAGACCTATTAAAGGTGTGTTGGAGAAACCGCTTGGGGGGGGGGCTGGTGGGCTTGGAGTGAGTGTATGAGAGGAGAAAAGGTGAGGCTAGTGAAGAAAGCTTGTGAGGAGCGTTACAACCTGCCCTTCCCACAGGGCCTTGGACTTCCGAGGACCCTCAGGTGGCCAGGAGGTCTTGGGGTGGGGTCAAGGCTGGGCAGATGTGGTTGTGTGTTCATGAGCTCACTCTGGCCACCATTGGGGAGTGACCCGTTGGCTCATGCCTGGACAGAAATGTCCATGAGAAGGAAAGATAGGAGGGAGAGAGGGAAGGAGGAAGGGAGGAAGGAAGGAAGGAAGGAAGGAGGGAAGGAAGGAAGGAAGGGGCCTGAAATCTTAAGATCTCTGTTTATTTTTAATTGTGAAAATATCATACAGAGGGGTTATAATTACATGAGCAAGGTAATGAGTTCATTTCTTTTTTTTTGGGTCCGGTCGTGGGGCCTGAACTCTGGGCCTGGGCGCTGTCCCTCAGCTCTTCAGCTCAAGGCTAGCACTCTACCACTGAGCCACCTTCCCAGCCCCATGAGTTCATTTCTTATCAAGCATTGTTACCCTTCCCATCCCTCCCCACCCCCACATCCCCAGGATCTCAGTTTAAAGACAGCACAAGCAGAAAACATGTGAGAGACTTCAGCTCACCAGCAAAAGGCTGGTCTAGAGGCATGGCTCAAGTGGTAGAGCTACTGCTTAGCAAGTGCGATGTCCTAAGCTCAAACCCCAGTACATCCAAAAAAGAAAGCGAGGAGGGGATGAGAAAGGGAAGGAAACTACCGGGGAAAGAGCAAAATATGTGCAGCGGGGAGAGGAGCCTAAGGGGCAGGAGTGCTGCGGGGCAGACCCAGGGCAGCCAGGGACCAGAGAAATGTGAGCCGGTTACTCTGGCCTCTCCCTACAGAGCCTGGCTTGTCCTGTCCCAGTGGGGATGGAGCCCAGGGCTAGCGCTGTGTCACTGAGCCGCCCCCCAGCCCAGCCCACCTGGTTACAAAGGCAGACCCAACCCTGGCGTGAACCAAGAACCCGGCTGCCTCCACCCGTGGAGCGGAGACCTGTCCCCAGCCACAAGGAGAACGTGCCCCCATGGCAGGCAGCCGCTCCAAAGCCAGGCAAGAGGCCCAGGGAGGCCTGGGCGATGGTTGCAGAGATGGGGTCCTCTCCACCTGCCTGCCTGCCAGGGTCACAGGCACATGTCCCTGGAGACCAGGAGTGGGACTGGATATTCCCGCGGCTGAGCCCGGCTCCCCGCCAGGCCAGGCTGGGGGAAGGGGTGGGGACTCCCTGCTCAAGGCGCCCCTCCCTCCCCCCACCGAACGTCTTAGAAGATATGAAGTAGGTCCAGCCCAGGATAGAAGCAACCCAAGAACACAACTTCAAACTGTGATTCTCGTCCTGTGAGCACGTTCCTTCCCTCTCTGAGCTTTAGTTGCTACCCATAAAGACAGCCTCTTCTTCTTTCCTCCTCTTCCTCCTCCTCATTCTTCTGCTGCTTCTTGTCCTCCTAGTCCTGGAGCTTGTATTCAGGGCACTGTCCCTGAGCTGCTTTTGCTCAAGCCTAGCACTCTACCACTTGAGCCACAGCGCCACTTCCAGTTTTTTCTGTGTGTGTGGTACTGAGGAATCGCACCCAGGGCTTCATGCATGCTAGGCAGGCGCTCTACCACTAAGCCACATTCCCAGCCCAAAGATAGTCACTTCTGTGGCCAATGGTACCCGCCAGCCAGCCCTGTGTCTAGAGCCCCTCAGACACCTCGCCAGTCCCCGCCAGCCCTCTGGGGAGCCCTGGGGCCTGGGGAGCCCTGGGGCCTGGGGTCGGGGCCCACTTCCACACCAGCCTGTCCCCCCACCTCTCACACCAGCCATGGAGAGAGTTCCCCCCCTTACCCTCTCCCCCCCCCCCCCCGTGCTGGCCTGGATCAGCCCCTCACCGCCCCCATCCCCACCCCCCACCCCCTGTCATCTCCCCCTCAGGCCTGAACTGAAGTCCTGGCTCCCACTGGAGCCTGGCTGTCCCACCTGAGAGCTAACCACTCTCTCTCCTGTCCCTAGAGCAGCGGACTGTCTTGAGGAGCCGGGGCTGTGCGCGTGGCTGGTGGCCGCCCGTGAGCTGGGACAGGAACAGAGGGCCCACCGCCACCTCCCCCCTGAGGCCAGCGCGGTGTCTGGAGCACCGCCAGGTCCAGACCAACGTGGCCAGCCCCAGTCCCCGCCTGGGCCCGGCTCTGAAGGACGCAACGACGGGTCGGTGGGTCCATTCACGCTTCCAGCAACAGAGCAACCTGAGGCCCAGGGCGCCCGGGGGACCCCGGAGGAAGGCCCCAGAGCCAGCCGTGCAGCAGAGCAACCTGAGGCTCGGGGGGACCGCCGCCCCCCGCCTCCAGGCTGGCCTTGGGCAGCGCACTCCCCTGGGGCTCGGTGCAGGGCACGCGACCCCGGCCACAGCGCCCTCCACCTCTGACCTCAGGCTCAGCACAGGTTTTCTATATCACGAAGGGCGCGCGCAGCTGGATGAAGGATCCTGGCCCAGGCTGGGGAGCGGGGCCCCCAGGCTCCTCGGGGAGCCCCTCACTCTGGAGGATCTGGCCGCCCCGGCCCCCACTGTCCTCGGGCGGCGGCGGCAGCTGGGTGCTGCGCAGCAGCTGGAGCACAGGGCGCCCAGGCTCAGGCAGCCTCCGGGCCCTGACGACAGCCGGTCACCCCCTGCCCGTCCCCAGCCCTGCCAGCCTGGTGTGGCCTCCCTGGATGAGAGGAACCGGGCCCGAGGCCCCAGGGGGACTGCACGGGGCTCAGAGATGCCCGAGGCCCAGGCTGGACTCCCGGATCGCCCAGTGCCCGGTGGGCCAGGCTCTCCCAACACCGCCTCGGGGGTCGTCACCCACAGTTTGCTCAGCTCTGCGCGGGGGCCCGGCCAGAAGTGCCCCCAGTGGCCTTCCCATGGCAGGAGGCACAGGGCGCCCCCCGGGCTCACTCCAGGGGAGCCCCGCTTCCCTGCTTCCTCCGGGGGCATCCTGCGTGAGTGGGAAGGAGACAAGGTCCAGGGCCAAGGGGCCAGCAGGAAGGAGGAGAGGCCGACTTCCAGCCCACCCAACCCAGCCCGGGCCTACAGGAGTGCCCAGCAGGTAGAGGCCCGGGAGGCGAGGGTGGGTTGTGGGCTTCATAGGGGAGGCTGGGGGGAGAGGCCCCGCCTGGCTCTTCGTCCTGAGAGCGGTCACATTGCTTCTCCAGAGCAACGCGCAAAGCATTGTGGTCCAGGAGCTCCAGGCAGCTGGGTGAGGTCTTGGGGGAGAAGGGGAAGGGGACCTTCTAGGGACTGTTCATGGGCTGTGGGGACAAAGGTCTGCTGGAGATACAGCCTTCTTGGGAACATGCGGGGAAGCTGCAATCCTGGGGTGGGGTCCTTGGGGATGGGTCAGCTTCTGGGGCCAGCAGGGCTATGGCGGTCCATTCTGCCTTGGGAGGCATCCTGAAGGAGGTTCTGGTCATTGCTGGAACGCTGTGTGGCCACCAGGGGGCCAGGCCAGCCCCCTGACCAGTGTTGGTGTGTCCCCAGCCGGCAGCCGCTGGCCACCTGTTTCAGAGCCTGGAGGCGACTGGCCCAGAGGCGGTGGGCAGTGGCCGAGGCCGTGGCTCTGAGTCACCGGCGGCGGCGGCTGCTTGGAAAGGGTCTCCGGGCGCTGCGATGGACTGTGTGGACGCAGGAGGCTCAGCTGGACGTGGCCTGGCGGCGACACACCAGGGCCTTGCTGGCTCGGAGCTTCCACAAGGTCAGCCAGCTTCAGGCTGAGCCCGGGCGGGGAGGAAATATGGCCCTGGGGTGTCTGGGAAGCTTGGAGGGCCCCGCTGACCTCAGGTGGCCCCTCCTGACTGGCCAGCAGTAGAGCACCATCTGGGTTCAGTCACACCGCTTTCCAGCTGTGTAACCTGGGGCAAATGACCTGACCTCTCCCTGCCTCAAGTCTCTCTTTAAAATGGGATGATAATAGTTGTAGTTGATTAACGGAGTAAATCCGGAAGGCTCAGATCCACTCAGCAAACACTTTGTTCTAGAAGTAAGTGTTGAGCCAGGCGCTTGTAGCTCACACCTGTAATCTTAGCCACTCAAGAGGCTGAGATCTGAGGATGGTGGTTCAAAGCCAGCCTGGGCAGGAAAGTTTGTGAGACTCATCTCTAATGAACCACCAGAAAACTGAAAGTGAAGCTGTGGCTTAAATGTCAGGGACAGCACCCAGGGCCCACAACAACAACAAAAATGCTGTTTCTTATCACTGACTTGTCAGCCTGTCTTGCTGCTTGCCCTCCCCCCCCTCCCCGCCCCGTCCCCCTTAATCATTGCCAGCAGGGAAGTGGAATGGAATGGTTAAGACTACAGGCCGCAGGCCCTGGGGGCTCGCACCTGTAATCCCAGGCTCTGTACCCTGTTTTGACCCAGTGGAGGCGACTGGCTCTACAGCTGCCCCCACCCAGGCTGCAGCAGGAGGCCCCTCCTCGGGAGGAAAGGCGGTGGTGGAGCCCGCCTGCAGGTTGGTCATTGGGGCCGCCCTTCCCCACCTCGTCGCCCTCCACACCCTTCCCGCAGAGAATGAGGGTGCGGGCAGAGGCGGCGTAGATCTGGGCAAACGCCTATGACAGTGTCGCTTGTAACTGGAAAAAAAACAAACAGTAGGAATTATGTCAGGGTTTAACCACCCAGCACACAACTGGCAGTCTGTGTTTATGAAGATGTCAGCTTTTTTCCTGTGTATGTGGTGCTGAGGAATCGAACCCAGGGCTTTGTGCATGCTAGGCAAGCACCTTACTGCTAAGCCACATTCCCAGCCCCTTTTTCTTTCTTTCTTGTGCCAGTTCTGGGGTTTTGAGTTTTTTCACTCCAGCTAGTGCTTTATCATTTGAGCCACTTCCAGCTTTTTGCTGGTTGATTGGAGATAAAGAGATTCATAGCCTTTCCTGCCCCAGCTGGCTTCAAATCTTGATTCTTAAATCTCAGCCTCCTGAATAGCCATGGTTACAGGCATGAGCCACTAGTGCCCTGCTTTGGTATTTCCCCACATTTCCACTATAGCTGTGTGTTCTTGTTTTTGTTTTTTTGTTAGTTGTGGGGCTTGAACGCTGGGCCTGGGCACTGTCCCTCAGCTCTTCAGCTCAAGGCTAGCGCTCTACTACTGAAGGCACAGCGTCACTTCCAGTTTTCTGGTAGTTTATTGGAGATAAGAGTTTCACAGCCGGGGCTGTGAAGGTGGCTCAGTGGTAGAGCACTTGCCTTGCATGCCTGAGGCCCTGGGTTCGATTCCTCAGCACCACATAAGCAAAAAGAAAAAAAAGCCGGAAGTGGCGCTGTGGCTCAGATGGTAGAGCGCTAGCCTTGAGCTGAAGAGCTGAGGGACAGCGCCCAGGCCCAGAGTTCAGGCCCCAGGACTGGACCCAAAAAAAAAAAAAGAGTTTCACAGCCTTTCCTTGCCCGGGCTGGCTTTGAACTGAGATCCTCAAATCTCAGCCTCCTGAGTAGCTAGGATTACAGGCATGAGCCACTGGCACCCAGCATGTTCTGAGTCTTATTTGTAAATTGAATAATTATTTAAGTGTTATTTAAACACATCTTTATTGTTATTTTTTTGTTTTGTCGGTCATGGGGCTTGAACTCTGGGCTTGGGCGCTGTCCCTGTGCTCTTCAGCTCAAGACAAGTGCTCTACCACTTGAGCCACAGTGCCACTAACACATCTTTATTGTTAAAAACCAAAAGAAATGTTAAGTAGGAGCTGGCGTCGTAGCTGGGGGTAAAGTGCATGCGTGACCCGCGCAAGCCCCTGGGTCTCCTCTTCAACATCACAAGAAAATAAAATATCTGAACAAGACTGAAGGAAATAAAGCAAAAGCAGACGTGTCTCTCCCCCCCCCGCCCCCCTCTTCTCTCTTTTCCATTCCCCCGCCCCCCCCCCCCCCCCCCCCCCCGCAAGCACCTTGGATAATCAGGAATAAAATAAACTGGAATAGAGTAGAATAGAGCAGGGGGCCCTGGCCCAGCACCCCGAGCTCAGAGACCAGGGTGAGGGTATGGGGGTGAGGGAACCAGCCATCAGCTGGGGCACTGGGTTCTCCGGGCATCTTCCCTCTCAGTCCAGGGAAGCTGGGGCCCACGGAGGGGACCAGGCCTGTGCCACGGCGGCCTGGGCAGAGACCAGGTGAGGGAGACAGAAGAGTCCAGATCTTGCAGGCCTTGCATCACCTGGCAGGTAAGGTGGTGGGTGCTGGGGAAAAAACCATGCAAGCCGGGCGCTGGTGGCTCACGCCTGTCATCCTAGCTACTCAGGAGGCTGAGACCTGAGGATTGAGGTTCAAAGCCAGCCCAGGCAGGAAAGTCCATGAGCCTCATCTCCAATGAACCACCAGAAATCTGGAAATGGTGCTGTGGCTCAAATGGTAGAGCGCTAGCCCTGAGCTAAAGAGCTGAGATATAGCGCCCAGGCCCAGAGTTCAAGCCCCATGACCGACAAAAAAAAACCCAAAAATCATGCAGGCAGGGCCGGGGCGGGGGGGGGGCAGGAGGGAGGGATTGGGGAGGGGGAGAGCAGGGCCTGAGCTTGTTCACATGTGTAGAGCACTATTTTGGTAATGCAAGTTGGAGCATCATGGTGACCTTCCTCCAGTAGTGTGTCCCTGTTACTGATGGAGAACTGTGGCCCAGAGAAGTTAAGTGGTCAGCTTGAGGACACACAGCAGTGGGAGGTGCACATGCTGTGTGTTGTGGGCCTTTGATGCTGGCCAGAGGCCTAAGTGAGGGTGCTGGGTGAGGGGGGCGTGGCAGACCAGGAGTCAGAGGCCCCTCCTGGCCTGGACCCCGCTCCTTCCCTCTCCTCCCTCCCTCCACAGCTTTCCTCCTCTGGTGTTATCAGGAGGACCAGGCCAGGCGGGAGAAGGGGACCCTGGGGGAGGCCCCCGGGGCCACCGCAGGGACTCGGAGGACAGGGGGCTCCCCGCAGACCCGGTGCTCGCATGCTACAGAGGCCCCAGCGGCCCCCCAGCCCCAGAGAGCCTGGCTCGGCAGGTAGGAAGACGGGGAAGACTCAGCACCCTGAGCTGCAGGCCCAGGGCTTTGTCCCAGCCTCCCACCCGGCCCACATCCCCGGGGAGCCAGCACGGTGAGGGGACGGACGGAGGGAGATGCCACCCAGTGCCAGCTGGCCAGGGAGGGCACAGGTCTACGAGTTTGTTTTTTTGTTGGTCATGGGGTTTGAACTCAGGGCCTGGTTGCTGCTCTTTTGCTCAAGGCTAGTGCTCTACCACTTTGAGCCATAGCACCACTTCCGGTTTTCTAGTTGTCTATGGAGATAAGTTTCACAGTGTTTCCTGTCTGGGCTGCCTTTGAACCTCAGTCCTCAGATCTCAGCCTCCTGAGTAGCTAGGATTATAGGCGAGAGCCACAGGGCCCTGCCTTCCAGGTTAAGCTGGGAGTTTTCCTAGATAAGTGATGACCATGTCTCCTAAGGGAGACAGGGAAACTCGTGAGCAGCAGAGTCCTGCTGGACCTTCATTGGTCCAGGGAGGGGACCAGGTGTTTTGAGGTGGGGGGAGAGGAACGATCACCCAGGGCCATCAGATCCTAAGAGCCAGGAGGCTGGGACTTAAAGGAGTGTGTGATGTGCTCTGGTCTCTGGTCTCTGGGTGGGAACTGGTTTGAGGGGTGCAGGGGGTGTGGGAGGCCTGATGGGAAGCTGCTGGGGCCTTCTGGTGGCATGGTCTGGGCAGGTAACATACTCAGAACCCCTCTGGCTCGGCCATTTCACAGATGGAGACACTTTCTCTCCAGGTGCTTTGGGGCCTGGTGTCAGCTCACACGAGGAAGGGCGCGAGGCCGGAGCGTGTTGACGCTGTGTCTGCAGCGGTGGGTGCAGATGAAGCAGCGCCGGGCCCTGGGTGGGGCCACGGTGCCGTGGCTGGCTCTGTGCTGGCAGAGGACAGGTGAGCGGGTGGGGGGCAGAGCGCCCCTTCCCGCCCAGCGGGTGCCCCCGGGTGCTGCTCAGCAAATACTGCCACCTAATGGAGGCTTCACCTGGGGGGGGGGTCTGTCTGTTTCTGTGTGTGTCTGAACTCTGGGCCTGGGCGCTGTCTCTGAGCTCTTCAGCTCCAGGCTAGTTAGCGCTCTGCCACTTGAGCCACAGCGCCACTTGTGGTTTTCTGGTGGTTCATTGGAGATGAGAGTCTCATGGACTTTCCTGCCCTGGCTGATTTTGAACCATGATTCTCAGATCTCAGCCTCCTGAGTAGCTGGGATGACAGGCGTGAGCCACCAGCGCCCAGTGCATGGATTCTTGTGGCGGCCTCTGTCGGGGTTCAGCCAGCCACGCATGGGGACCTGGGGGGTGTCCCAGATCTCGTGGAGAGCGGCTGTCCCCTCCTTGTCCTCCCCCCAGGCCTGCTCAGTGCTGGGGTACCTCACTCCCACTCAACGATCAGAGCACCCCACTGCTGAGGAAGCTGGGGTGTTGGGGGGAAGGTTTGAAGGTTTGAAGGTGGCCGGAAGGAGCTGTTGTCCACGAGGGGCCAGGCCCATGAGGGGCAGAGGCCGTGGGTTTGGGGTAGCTGGAGGCCTTGGTGACGGCTCACTGTCTTACGGCGGCTTTCAGGTGGTGACTCAGCCTCAGGAGCCCCCCGGGCCCCTGGCCTGGGGGAGGAGGTCCAGGCTGAGCGGCGGAAGCGCAAGCAGGGCTGGCTGCAGGAAGGCTGCCGGAGCCTGGCCTTGCAGCGTGCACTGCTGCTGTGGAGGAATCGGCTCCGCCAGTGCCAGCAAGCCACGTAGGTGTCCAGGAACTCGCCACTTCCGGTTGGCCCGCGCCACAGGGTGGGCACACAGCAGTCCTGGGTGCCAAGGGCCGTGTCTGGTGGCGTGTGGGCCGGGCCATCTCCCCATTCCTGCAGCCCCAGCATGGGTCCTGGCACGCTGGTGCCCGGAGGATGCCAGGCCTCTGCATGGGGCCGAGCAGCGAGCTGCTGGCAGCCCGAGCCAAGGCATCAGTGACCGCCAGGACCCAGAGCCCAGGCTGGGGCCGAGGGACAGGGGGGACTGGCATCTCTGCCCACCCCAGAGAGACCACACCAGCACATACAGGACTAAAAATTCTATCTGTAGGCTCTGAGCCCCTGGCGCTTGGCTCACGCCTGTAATCCTAGCTGCTCAGGAGTCTGAGATCTGAGGATCACAGTTAAGAGCTGGATGGGCAGGGAAGTCTGTGAGACTCTTATCTCCAATAAACCACTCAGGAAACTGGAAGTGGCGCTGTGGCTCAAATGGTAGAGTGCTCGCCTTGACTTTTTTTTTTTTTTTGACAGTTGTGGGGCTTGAACTCTGGGCCTGGGCGCTGTCCGTCAGCTCTTTAGCTCAAGGATAGTGCTCTACCATTTGAGCCACAGCAGCACTTCTGGTTTTCTGGTTGTTTATTGGCGATAAGAGTCTCATGGACTTTTCTGCCCAGGCTGGCTTTGAACCGTGATCTTCAGATCTCAGCCTCCTGAGTAGCTAGGATTATAGGCATGAGCCACTGACACACAGCAAGTGCAAGTGCTAGCCTTGAGCTGAAGAGCTCAGGGACGGTACCCAGGCCCAGAGTTCAAGCCCCATGACTGACAAAAAAAAAAGTCGAGACAATGCCCAGGCTCTAAGTTCAAGTCCCAGTACTGGTGCGCGCGCGTGTGCACGAGCACACACACACACACACACACACACACACACATCTTACTCTGGGGCTTAGACTGTACATCAAAATTTCCTTTTGTTTTTGGGGGGAGGGTGCTGGGGTTGGAACCTGGGGTCTCCCCCGCTCCCCGCATGCTAGGTTAGCACACAGGCTCTGAGCTAGCCCGACTCCCCGGCGTGTCTCGTGGGTGGGTTCAGGACTCCGGGCTGTGGCTGGGCCGGGGTCAGGGGGCCGGAGCTCACCCCCCCTCCGTCCCTTCGTCCTGTCCGCAGCTCGTTCTCCCGGGGTGCTGAGCGGCGCCTGCTGCGGGGCGTCCTGAGCCGGTGGCGGAGGAGGGCATGGGGCCCCGACCCTCGGCCAGACGGCAGCAAGACCAAATCATCGGTCCTGGAGCTGTGGGGGGGCCCTGGAGGAGAGGGGGCTGGGCTGGGCTGCGGCACAGCCCAAGGCGCTCTGGAGGAGGTAAGGGGGGGCAGGACTTCCCCATCCTCCCTACTCCCTACCCTGTGGGCCCTGAGGGGCGCTCACGGGGGGAGGGTTTCTTCTGCTGGCAGGTGCGGGACCAGCGTTCTTGGGGTGCAGCAATGTGGTGCCAGCCGGCCCTCCACAGGCGGTAGGGACCCCTCCCCCCCACAGGGACAGCCACGCTGCCCTCTGCGCAGGGCATTTGCTCCTTCCCAGCAGCTTTTCCCATCACTCCTTGCGTTCCAGCCATGTCCCCTGGGGGCTGGCATCCCTTAGGACCCCCTGTCCCTCTCCAGGGGGCTTGGCCCCAGGCTCAGGCCCCCCCCCACTCTTCCTGCTATGAGGGGCAGCATGGGGAGGTGCTCTGAAGGGGTCTCTCGCTTGATTCTGTGTGTGTGTGTGTGAGCGCACATGCGCATGCACACGCACCAGTCCTGGGACTTGATCTCAGGGCCAAGGCTAGCACTCTACCACTGGAGCCACAGCGCCACTTCTGGCTTTTTCTGGAGGTTCATTGGAGATGAGTCTCATGCACTTTTCTGCGCGGGCTGGCATTGAACTGTGATGCTCAGATCTCAGCCTCCTGAGTAGCTGGGATGACAGGCGTGAGCCCCTGGCACCTGGCTCCTCACTTCCTCATCCTTAGCATGATGGTGATGACAGTTTTCTGCCTGGCTTCTCAGCCCAGCATTGCACCTCACTGGCTGTGTGATATTGGACAAGTTGCTTGACTTCTCTGGGCTTCCTCTTTCCTATCTGTAAAAGGGAGGCCATACAAAGTGCTCACCCCTCTGGGATAGCACCAGAGTGGCGTGCAAACATCCCCTGACACAGTGCCCGGCTCATGCTCAAAACCCGAGCAGCAGCTGAGCCCAGGACTGGGCACTGGAAGCTGATGGTCCCTTCCTGTCCCTGCCACCTGTCATGATGACCTTTGACCCCTCCTGTCCCTAGTAAGGGAAGCAGAGGAAAGCCACCCCAGTCCCTCCCTGCCGCCCAGGGGAGGACCGAAGAGGGCTGGGGGACACGGCATCCTCAGGGTGGACGCTCCCCTTCCAGCATCTTCCACAGTTGGAGCTGCTGGATGGGAGTGCAAGGTGCCCGGAGAGAGCTGGCTGCCCGCCAGGCCTGCGTTTGCAGCTGCCCGGCTCCCGCGGCTGGCCTGGCGGCAGGAGGCAGAGCGACAGAGCCAGGGACGGGCGCGGGCTGCCCTGTGCCGCCGCTGCTCCTGCTGGCAGAGTGAGCCGGGACTGGGAGACTGGGTGCGGGGCACAGGGGCGGGGAGGGCGGGGGAGGGGGGTGGCGGCCGTCCATCCCCGACAGCCAGTGCCACGGGGGCCCCCAGCACGGGGTGGTTGGGCAGGATCTGGGGGCCGGAATTCTGCAGTGCTGGGGTCCCAGCTTTCCCACCCCTTGGCTGCCGGCCTCCCTGAATCTCAGCGTGGCCCCCACTTTACACCCACGGGCCCTGCGTGGCCCCCTCGCCTGCACCCTGCTCACCCGCCCGGTGCAGGGCATTGCCACGGTTCTCTTAGGGCCCAGCAGAATTAGTCCCAGAACAGAGGAGAGGAAATTGAGGCAGAGGAGGAGAAGAAGCGGCTATACACACACACACACACACACACACACGTGTGTATGTGTGCGCATGTGTGTGTGTGAGAGAGACAGAGGCCAAGGTGGGAGGCAGGCTGGAGAGGCTGCAGCTTGGGAGGGGAGGGGCCTGGGAGGGAGAAGGGACCCTCCCTCCGGGAGTGTTTTTCTTGCGGTCCAGCTGACCCCAGCTACAGTCACAGCGCCAGCTGCGCTGTCCCTGAGCTCTTCAGCTCAGTTTTCTAGTGGTTTAATGGAGATAAGAGTTTCATGGACTCTCCTGTCCAGGCTTTGAACTGCTATCCTCATCTAGCTAAGATGACAAGCGTGAGCCACCAGCACCCGGCAGTTTTTGTTTTTTGCCTTTTGTCAGTGGTGGGGCTTGAACTCTGGGCCTGGACTCTGTCCCTCAGCTCTTCAGCTCAAGGCAAGTGCTCTACCACTTGCCCCATGGTGCCATTTCCGGTTTCCTGAGTGGTTTATTGGAGATAAGAGTCTCCTGGACTTTACCTGCCCAGGCTGGTTTTCAACCATGATCCTCAGATCTCAGCCTCCTGAGTAGCTAGGATTATAGGCGCGAGCCACGGGCGCCTGATCCAATACTGAATAGTTTTAATGAATGAATTGTGGTGCACGGAGCCCTGGGGCTTTGCACATGCTAAGTAGCTGCTCCCTCCCACACTCCCCTCCCCTTCTCCCCCCACCCCCCAGCTCCTACCGGACTTAGTTTTAGCCACTTTCATTTGGCATCCCTAGCTCAGGGCTGGGGTGAAGGGGTCAGCCAGGCAGAAGCAAGACAGTGAATACAGCTCACACCACTCTCAGTAGGGACACATGACACAGGATATTGGTTCCATGAGGGGTCATGTGGCTTTAAAAAAAGTTGTGTGTGTGTGTGTGTGTATGTGTGTATGTGTATTTTCTTTAGCCAGTCCTGGGGCTTGAACTCAGGGCCTGGTCATTGTCCCTGAGCTCTTCAGCAAAGGTGAGCACTCTACCACTTGAGCCACAGCACCACTTCCAGTTTTCCGGTGGTTTATTGGTAATGAGTCATGGACTTCCTTGTCTGTACTAGCTTTGAACTGTGATCCTCAGATCTCAGCCTCCTGAGCAGCTAGGATTACAGGCGTGAGTCCTTGGCACTTGGCTCTGAAATCTTGATTTCTTTTTCTTTCTTTTTGTTGTTGTTGTTGTTGGTCGTGGGGCTTGAACTCTAAGCGTGGGCGCTGTCCCTCAGCTCTTCAGTTCAAGGCTAGTGTTCTACCACTTGAGCCACAGCACTATTTTCGGTTCTCTGGTGGTTAATTGGAGATAAGAGTCTCACAGACTTTCCTGCCTGGGCTGCCCTTTGACCTGCGATCCTCAGATCTCAGCCTCCTGAGTAGCTAGGATTACAGGCGTGAGCCACCGGCTTCAGGCAATGTACTGCCTCTCTCTCACCCCCCTTCGTGCCATCAGTGTGGCAGGGTGGATGAGCACTGGGCACAGGACCAGACTCATAGCAGGTGGGCAGAGCACCAGTGTTCTTGCTAGGTAAAGGGAGGAAAAAGATAACCAAACCATCCTGTCCATCCCTGAAGCAGAATGCTTGCCCTGTTTGCTGTGGCCATTCAGCCCTGCCATGCCTATTTAATAGGATTCCAGAAGAATGAGCAGGGGGGTGGGGCTCAGTCGGGTATGCCCTGAGCCCTTCCCAAAGAACTCTGGGAAAGGCCTCCTGCAGGGCTGTCTTTAAAGAACCATGGTGCCAATAGCCAATAGTGGGTGTCTCCTCCTTCACCAGGGCTGCAGAGGCCTCCACCGGGAGCCATGTCCAGAGAGCTGCTATCATCTGGCTCCAGCAGGCTGGGGTCAGACGCCTCCTCTGGACCTGGGGAGTCCAGGGAGCTGGCCCCACGCACTGGCCCAGGCTGGCCAGCAGAGGGCGCGTCCTGCTGTTGCTGGACGCCCCTGTCCCTTGGAAGCAGGTGAGGTGGAGTCCAGCTTATTTCATTCAGCCCCACAGCCAGACGCTGTTTTGTCCTCCAGGACCCTGGTCCTCTTTGCTGTCCTGACTCTGGACAACACAGAAACCATCAACAAATGTAATAGGGCCTCTCCTGGCTGCTAGCTCTGTGCAGGTCTGTCTGCCTGGGCCCCAGTCTGTTATAGAGACAGACAAATCCTTTTTCTTTTTTGGTATTACTGGGGGTTTGAACTCAGGGTGCCTCACTTCTATCTGGCTGGCCCTCTACCACCTGACACACACCTCCAGCCCTGCTTTTTCCTGCGCTGGTCCTGGAGCTTGAACTCTGGGCCTGGGTGCTGTTCCTGAACTTCTTTTGCTCAAAGCTAATGCTTTACCACTTGAGCCACAGCACCACTTCTGGCTTTTTTTTCTTGCTTATGTGGTACTGAGGAATTGAACCCAGGGCCTCATGCATGCAAGGCAAACACTCTACCACTGAGCCACCTTCCCAGCCCAAGGGGATGGGGGGTATTTAATTGAACAAAAGTCTCTCGTGGACTTTCTTGCCTGGGCTGGCTTCAGATCTCAGCCTCCTGAGTAGCTAGGATTACAGGCATGAGCCATCAGCACCCAGCTCTCAGCAATTTATCATGGGGCAGTTTAGGAACAAGATGGATACATGAAGATAGTCACACATTTTTTGTTATTTTCTTTATTATAAAAATGAAGTATCTCCATTATGGAAAAAATTATAAAATACAAAGTAGAAAAAAATAACGTTTTCATAATTTTCTCCAGTCAAAGATCAGTCTCTCTCCAGCCCAGAATTCATTAGTTCTGACAGGTCTAAGCGGTGATGAGAGGCTGAGGGCCTAGGAGGAGGGAAAGCCACTGAGAAGTGTGACACCACACAGTGGTCTGGGGACATTGGCTGAGGGACCAGGCCCAGAGACGCTGACTGGGCAAGTAGTGTTTCTAAATATCACTTGGCATCACCAGGAATTTGGTTTCAGAATGCCAGGAAGAATCTAATAGACTAGACAGGTACACGAGTGGTTGTCATGTCTTTAAAATAGAACTCAGACAATTGTGGTGGTTTGCAAAATTCACATATATAGGGTCACAGTAGCGGCAGATTCTGCAGGCGCAGGGTGCTTCATTGATAGGCATGAGCTACCAGTGCCCAGCTTCAGGGCAATCTGTGCGTGTGCCTGTATGAGGCTCAAGCTCAGAAGTCTTACGCTCACTGGGCTTGTTCACTCCTCTCTGCCACTCTATCACTTGAGCTATGCCTGCAGTTCTTGCTTTTTGCTAGTTAACTGGAGATGGAGTCATGTAAACTTTTCCTGCCTGGGTTGGCCTTCAATTGTGATCCTCAGATCTCAGCCTCCTAATTTGCTAGGATTATGGATATGAGTCACCCGGGCCTAGCAACTTTTTTTTTTGAGACAGGCTCTGACTGGGTAGCCCGAGTTGGCCTCAAAACTCACAAACCTGTTTCAGCCTTGTCTGTGCCAGGATGATAGTTCTGTATTGCTATGCCCATGTGCCACATCTATCTACACATATACACAAACATACACAACACACATATACATATTACTTAATTCTTGCCCCTGCTCTGCCACAGGCCCATGTGCCCACCCTCGCTTGGCGGCTCGTGTCACTGAGTCCCCTAGAGCCCCTGGCCTGTGTGTTGTAGGTGCTGGGGGGCTTGGGCTTCACCACTTTTAAGGACAGGCCTCAGCAAGGCCAGCTTTGTAGAGCTGCGGGGGGAGGGGGCAGGCAGGGCAAAGCCCCCCCTTGGGCTCTAAGTGGTCAGCAGGCCCTGGGAGGCTCAGATCTCCCCCGCTGGCTCTCCCTGCAGACCCACAGCTGCTGGACACGGGCCACAGCGCCTGCACTGCCCAGGCCAACCCTGCAGCCTCCCTGTGCTGGACAGAGGCCCCGGAGGGGCAGGACCCGGGCTGAGAGCAGCCGCCCGCTCTCAGGTGAGCCCAACGTGCTCCCACCCACTGCCTCTTCTATCTTTCTGGGGGTTTGCAGACAATTCCTTTCTCGTGTATTATCACTCAGGGTGTGTGTGTGAGGAGGGGAGGCGCCCCTCTCCCAACCCAACCCCTTCCGTTCCAGGTGGCAGAGAGCTGCCCCTCTGCCCCGCCTTCCAGCTCTGGCTAGAGCGGCCTGGACGGGACAGCAGCACCCCTGAGCTGCCCCCTTCTGGCCCAGGCAGGCTCTGCGGCTCTGCGGGCAGGGCTCTCCATGGCCGGGGCCCCTGGAGGCGACTGGGGTAAGAACTGGGGGGGGGGGGGAGCACTCCCTGGTCAGTGCTGAACCACCGCCCCTCCCCTTGGCCTTGAAGAGGTCCCGATGCCCTTGCCCCCAGAAGGAAGGCCGCGTGGCGCTGGCGTCTGGAGACTCTGCGTCACAGGTTCCAGGCTTCCCGGCAGGCCCGGTGCCTGGCACTGACATGGCAGCGCTGGGTGGATGCTAAAGGGGTGGAGCAGCTGTCCCGGGCCCTGGTGAGTGGGCTTGGAGGCCCCCGGGCACATCACCCCTCAGCCTAACCCTGCTAACGGCGCCTCCCCCTCCAAGGGTGCATGCTCAGAAACCTGGGGACACAGGGCTGGGGCTGTCACTACCCTTCTACCCCAACATGGCAGGGCTGGGCTGCAAGGGGCACCAGGGCTTGTTGCCTGTCACCCATGTCCCTAGCTCAGGCAGTGGCACCTGTGGCTCGCCTGGAGGACGTGGCGGCGGAGCATGGTGCGCCTGCGCGCGGCTCAGCGGCTGCGGCAGGAAGAGGAGCGCTGGGTCCTCTCCCAGGTACCAGCTCGGTCACCCCACCTTGTCCCCCAGCTGCCTCTGGTTCCTGGGTCAGGGGTCTCCGCGGTGGTCACCCCACCTTGTCCCCCAGCTGCCTCTGGTTCCTGGGTCAGGGGTCTCCGTGGTAGCCACCCCAGGGAGGGGATCAGTTGGATTACAGAACACAGCCAGATATTGGACCTTTGCTGTGACTGGTGCTGCTCCATCTAGGAGCAAGAAGGCCCAGCTTGGATCCCTGGCCTCTCGTCGCAGCCCCGGCGGGGGGGCTGGGTCCCCTTGTTTGGGGCTCTGCAGACACAGCTTCCAGGTCACAAGTCAGATCTATTCTGAGACTCTGCATTTTCCCTGGAGAAGGGCAGGCAGGCTGCCCAGGCGGGGGGAGCGGCCTCTGGGGGGGACATGAGCTGGGCACAGGTGATCCCCTGGCAGGCCAAAGCCCAGGCCTTGAAGGGAGCCAAATAGCCTTTTCTGTCCCTCCCTGGGTACCAGGCCTTTAAACAGTGGTACCAGTGTGTGACAGCCAGGAGACGCAGCCGCAGCCGCTCCCTGAGTGCCCAGGCCCTGGCTGTGGTGAGTGTGGGGCAGAACAAAGGGCCAGGCTGCAGCCCGCGACTGGTGCCTGTGGAGTGATGCGCAGCACTGAGGCCCAGGTCCCTCAGGGCCCCCCAAAGACTCCTACCTCACGAGTGCAGCGGGAGAGGGACGACTCTGGGGGACAATAAAAGGCTGCTTCTGCTGTGTTCCCTGAAGGCTGCGTCACTCAGCCGTTCTTCTGACACCCGCGTCCGTGTGCGGGGCTCCTTCCTGCCAAGGCCAGCAGGCCAGGAGCCAAGGAAGAGCAGCCGGCTGCACCTGCTGGCCACTGCCCCAGGCAGCAGAACCTGGGGCTGGGTCCTGGGAGGAGTGCCGGGCTGAGAGGAGGGCCGGCAGCTGGCATTAGGAAGGCCAGCTGGGGCGTGGCCGGGCCCTGCCTGAGCTGAGGGGTGGAGGGAAGCAGGAGGGCTGGGACGGCCTTTCACCACAGGGGTGCTTTTCCATCCAGCCATCGGAACAGAGAAGCCACGTTATGGGGCAGGCCTGGGGCTGGGGGGACCGCAGCTGAGGGAACGCTTGGGGGATGAGGTCTGGCACCTGTCAGCCACGCAGGGAGGCGGCAGTGGCCTGCCCCTCCCACCTCAGTGGGACGATGTGGCACCTTCACTCTGCCATGTCGTCAGTGCTGCGAGTCCCCGTTGAGTTCATCGAGTTCACTGCCCGGCCCACGAGGGCTCCAAGTGCAAGTTCACCGGGGTCCTTTGTTAGCTCCGGAGGCTGCCCTGGTGTGGGGCAGGGAGGGCAGTGTGCTCCCGACCCCGAGCACGCTCTCTCAGAGGGTGGCAGGCTCCCACGTGGGGCTGACTCTGGTCCAGCCAGAGCCCGGACGCCTCCTGCTGGCCTTACTGCCATTACCCCCTGGGAAGAACCAGGCCCGGAGGACAGTGGGAAAGGTGGGTGGGCACAGTGAAGGATGTCAGGCCTGGGACTCAGGGGGCCTCCACATCCCCGTCGCGCTTGGGGGGCCTGGTGAGCAGCTCGAATGTATCTTCCACTACCTGCCACAGGCAGTTGTCCAGTGGGAACTCGTTGTCTACCAGGTTGACCAGGAAGTAGTTGTCGTGGATGTGCTGGATGATGGCGCGGGACGGGGACTCCTCATCATACAGCTTTCCCCACTGCTCAATCCACAAGGCAAAGGCCTCATCCTACACACACACACATATACACACAGGCCAAGACACCAGGGTTGCCTCTGGGTCAGGTTTCTATATGCTCTACAGGTACAGCACGGGTCCCACGGCCACTGCCATCCCGCCCAGCCCACGAGGAACCGCCACATGACTATGTGGCTCTGCAGGCCAAGTCTGTGGTCTACAGCACAGGGGTTTCCCTACCGTCCTGAGGTGGCAGAACAGGCCCCTTCCCAGCTCCCTTACCTTCCAGAACATGAAGCTGACAGGATCCACCACGGTGGGTTGGATGATCTCCCGGCCAGGGAAGATACCCCATGTGACGGCATTGGGCTGCAGCTCAGGGGCGTTGGTTATGTTCTCACCCTGAGCGGGGAAGAGGGGTTGGGCAGAATAGACCAGAGACACCCACAGTCTTTCATTGACCTCCAACTCAGCATTTCCTGCCTCCAATACCTTCCCAGGCCTGTGTCTCTGACAATGACATTGTTTGGTCTCCATTAAAACCCGAAATCTAAACTGGGTGCTAGTGGCTCACACCTATAATCCTAGCTACTGAGGAGGTTGAGATCTGAAGATTGTGGTTCAAAGCCAGCCTGGGCAGAAAAGTCTGAGAATCTTAGCTCCAATTAACTACCAGAAAACCAGAAGTGGTCCTGTGGCTGAGTGCTAGAACAGTAGTAGCCTTGAGTGAAAAAGCTCAGGTATAGCACCCAGGTCCTGAGTCCAAGCCCCATGACTACCACTCTGGTCAGCCCCTCATCTAATCTTTGGCAGGCCTGTTGGGCCTCCCTGGCTCCAGCCCTCCCCTGCCTGTTACCAATGGCTACCTTCCGTGATCTGCCTAAAATGAAACAGAGCCAAGTGACTCCACTACTGGAATCCCAAACTTCAAGGAGGACAATCAGGACCCCTGAAGGATCCACTGAAGACTGACATCTCCCATTCCCAGGGTCCCCAGACACTGTGGTGCCTCTGCACGTGTGTGCCCTTGCCCCGAAGCCCTTCTCTCCTCCTCTGTGCCCTTGGAAGGTTCTGTGTACCCAGGATCTCTTCCCAATTTTCCCACTCACGCTGACCAATCTCTTTCACTAGGCTGGGAGCTCTTGAGAGAGCAGGGACCTGCTTTTGTTTTTTTTTAGTTTTTTGTCGTCATAGGACTTGAACTCAGGGCCTGGGCTCTACCACTTTGAGCCACAATGCCACTTCTGGCTTTCTGGTGGCTAATTGGAGATAAGAGTCTTTGTGGACTTTCCTGCCAGGGCTGGCTTTGAACCATGATCCTCAGATCTCAGCCTCCTGAGTAGCTAGCATTATAGATATGAGCCATCAGCACCCAGCGTGGGGCCTGGTTTTATCTGTATGTCTGGCCTGATCTGCCTGGCCTGGGCAGGTGACTGTTGAAGGAATGAATGTGGGTGTTCTCAGGCTCAGGTGCTCTGGCCCTGCTAAGTCCCATCTGAACTGTGGGAGCTAGCTCACCTTCACATCCACGATGTGGTAATTGACCCGGAGCTCGTACTTCTTCAGCACTTGCAGAAGCGCCTCCACTGTCTCTCGGGAAGTGAAGAACTCTAAGTAGGCCTGAGGGAGACAGGCACCTGTCACATATCTACCCCAGCTCCTTCCCCACTGCATGGTGAGCTCCAGGCCCAGTCAGATGCCCTCCGCCCTCCCGAAGGGCCCCCACAGGCCCAAGACCCTGAAGGCAGCAGGACCGGAGACAGCCTGAGCTGGTGAATACACCAGGGGTGGGCATGTGAGGTTTCTGTCTGGACCCCTTTCCCAGCCACTGGGGAGAAGGCATGCTGGACACTGGACACAGGCCCATGTGGGTCTGACAGGTTGAGGAAGCGAGGCCTGGGGTGATCCAGCATCCCCAGTCACTGAATGACATTTTCTCTAGTGCCACAGCCACTAGGGCTGAGCTGGGTTTATTTACATTTGGCGGTTAACTGTTCCCAGCACCGCAGGGCTGGCTGGTGCTGGATATACAGAGGAGGTGACCAGGCTGGGAGTAGTCGAGCCAACTGGGAAATGCACACAGATCTTTTTTTTTTCTTTTTTGTTTGTCATGGGGCTTGAACTCTGGGCCTGGGCACTGTCCCTCAGCTCTTCAGCTCAAGGTGAGTGCTCTACCACTTGAGCCACAGCGCCACTTCTGGTTTTCTAGTGGGTCATTTGGATATAAGAGTCTCAAGGACTTTCTTGCCTGGGCTGGCTTTGAACGGTGATCCTTAGATCTCAGCCTCCTGAGTAGCTAAGATTACAGGCATGAGCTACCGGCGCCTGGCTGAACACAGATCTTTCTACAGCCAGGGCCCAGAGGCTTTGGTTCTGAACACCATCCACCTCCAGCAGCTCTGGGGAGCGGTGTGAGCCAGAATGGCAACTGCTTCCTGCATCCTTCATGCTTTACCCTCATTTCACCAAAGACAAAACTGAGCCTCAGGCCAAGTCTACATCATTTAAAGTGCCAGCTCCTGTCCACCCCCATGCTCCTATCACTCCCAATCAGGGGCAACCGCCAGGAGCCCCCCTCTCACCTTCTGGAAGACATAGCCCCCGCTGGGACCCCAGCCCACGACGGGGTCAGAAGATGGCTTTCCATTGATGTTGGGCTGGGAGTTGATGGTGAGGATGCCCTGGCGGTTCACGCGTAGCAGTTCTTCCTTCATCAGGCTGGTCTCGGCAGCCAGGGGCTCGTCATTCCAGGGCAGACATGTCACCTGGG